AAAAATGGGAGAACCAAAGCCCCTTTCTACCTTCTTCGAAAGTGTCAAAAGCAAAGTATTTCTTTACCTGTTTGGGTACTTTCAAAATCTGTAAAAATTCAAGAATTTAATGGAAATAGTTCAAGAATCATTGAAAACAAAACTGGAGAATAAGAAAGCGAAGAAAAGGGTAATAGAAAGTGAAGAAACGCAGATCTGCGAGAGAATAATTAAAAAGAATGAGCGTTGAAACCGGACAGATTACCTGGTAAAGCTATGGTAGAACCCAACAATTTGTTGAAGAAAAAAAATAATACTTAATCAGGAATTGGGATTGGAATTTGCAAGATTTACTGACAAAGCTTTCATTTGCTATGGAATCTGGGATCTTTTCTTTGTCGAGGGGATTGGGAAGATAAATATAAACTAGCAAAGCAAATGGGTTAAAAAAAAGCCCAACAAAAGAAGTTTCTTTGGGTTGACACTTGACAGTGATATTATTATTAGGCTTAATCAAAATATGTCTCAAAATTATATTATTTGTTAACTTTACTAGTCTAAAGAATTTTTGGGAAGAGTGGAAGGGCAAAATCAAGGAAACAGGTGGAATGGTTCATGCCAGGATCAAGAATGGTACGTGCTTACTGGACTTTATTTTGATATAACTTCTTATGTTGATTGGGTTGTACTAAAGAATTAATGTTACAGAGACAAATTGCTTAGTTGTGAGTGGGAAGTTGGAGAGTCATGCTGCTGAGATGAGGAAGGCACCGTAAAGCTCCTTTCATTTATATTTTTTCTCAAGTTCTTCATTCATTTTAGACTCATTTCATGTGTTTCACTTTTCAGGAGGATGAGATTGCCAATTGTTAGGGAGGACTATCTTGTTGACTGTTTGAAGATGCTTCCTTTTGATGTGTACAAAGTTGAAGCCATTGGTGAGGCCTCTAGCATGGTCACCGTCGAAGTAGAAGGACGAAGTGCTGTGCATGAAGCTTTTGTTCTGCAAGATTCAGGTCACATACTTGAGGATGGGGGAAGTGTATATAGCACAACTTTAAACATGTCTGACTTATCAACCGGCGTTAACTGGTGCATTTTTGACACATTCTCGTTGGCTGGCTTTAATCTATTATATCTGACTGTGACTTTCCTGCTTTGCAGTTGGTTGTATGTTCCTTGCTTCTTCTAAGGATTATGAGGGGCATTTTTCTTGCCCTCATCCTCTTTGAAGACTTAGATTCACGCTTCTTTGAAAACAATGCCTTTTCCTCATTGCTTTTCTAATCTATGTTACTTGGACTTGAATGTGAGTGTTGGACATGTTTATATATCTGACTAGGGTTTGTTCCTTTTTTCTCAAAATTCTCATGAATTTGGAGGGCTTTTGAGAGACCATATCATCATACTCATGTCTAGAAAAGAGTCGGACATGATTACCGGACACAGGAAGTTCAAGAAAATAGAGTCGCAGCAACATAGTTGGACATGAGATCTTATCCTCATCATACTCATGTATTTGTTCTTGAGAAAAGTGGGAATACATGGGAGGCATGGGAACAGAAAGAAAATTTCCAGAAACAACCCGGCAGATTTTTCCCTCTGGATATTGTATTTTATTTCCTTTCCATCTCTCTCCAAATGTATGTGCCTCTTGCTTAGATAGTGCATTCCTTTTTGCTATAATTCTCCTTTATATTCTGGAATTTGTAGGACTATGGAGTTAACAAACAGGTGTCACAGAAGAAGCACATTGATGCAGACAGTCGACTTCCTCCATTACTTGAATTGGTGAAGATGCTTTTTAATGTGGAAACATACTGGCAAGTGGCCCATTTTACAAGCAAACTCTTCCTCTCGTACTCGCTCAAATTACTTCGATGTTTGAATGATCCATTCTTTATTACAGGGCTGCAATGATGGAGTTTGAGATTAATATGTCTGAAATGTCCCTTGGAAAGCTGAGCAAAAGTAACATTCAAAAAGGTAGCTAACTGTAAAACCTCATTTATTTTCTCTGCTATGCTGGACGTCCTTAAATGTTGTGTTATAGGAGTTAAATTTGTAGCATATGTGGAGTAGAAATTTTAGTAACCATATCTTCTTGGCCCAGGCTGAGGCATTAACAGAGATACAAAATCTATTAAACAGAAACGCTTCCGATCCTTCTGTCAAAGAAAGCTTGATTATTGATGCCAGCAATTGATTTTTAACTGTTATTCCTTCTATACATACACATTTCTTTTGCAAGACTAACATTTGGAACACTTTTGTCTTCCAGTTTTGCAAGGGGATTTACTTTGCTGATTTGGTCAACCAGAGTGCTCAGTATTGCTTTACTGATAGAAAAAATCCAGTGGGCCTCATGCTTCTCAGTGAAGTTGCTTTAGGGAAGGTCTATGAACTAACAAAGGCCAGGTTAGTTCACCCTTTATGTCAATGCCTGGATTAGAACTTGGAAAGAAAGCACTCTACAAAAGGGCTTGGAAAGAAAGTACCTAAGAAGTCTGACTTTGTAAAGTGGATGGATGATGTCGTTGTACCTTGTGGCAAACCAGTTCCATCCAGTGTGAAGGAATCTGAACTGATGTACAATGAGTACATTGTTTATAATGCTGCTCAAGTTAAAAGATCTTCTTCTCTCATGTAGCTAAATAGCAGTCTTGTTTAATGCATGAAAACGAATTAGAACTTTGGTACTACCGCAATGTGCTTTGCACATGTCCATCTATACATTATTCTATTAACCAAATTCTCGCTCTAGCCCCTTTCCTAAAGATGCAATTATTTTTGTCTATGTTTTTAAGTGATTTGAGCTGTTTTTTCTTTAAGTTGTTTTGATTAGATGAGCGATGAATTCAATTCCGGAATCCCTGGAATAAGCTAAGGAACTATTGAAATTGTTCTGGGAGAAAGACTAAATCGTGTTGTTTGAATTAGCCTCTGACATGTTCCCTTCTCGGTTACTTAAGTGGCCTTATTTGGAAGTGATTGGATCTGTTATTATTATTAGTACCAACATACCTCCTTTGTTGTCCAGACCGCAGACTTGGGCCTCGGGGTAAGTACTCAGGGATAAACCAAATGACCTTGTTTGAATTAGCCTCTTGACATATTTCCTTCCGGGTGGCCTTGTTTGGAACTGATTAGACGTGTTATTATCATTATAACCTATGTTGTCTGGACTAGGGGGTAAGCATTAGACATGGGTATGCTTAATTTTTCTGAAAAAGTTTTTCTATATTGGGAAGATCATTCCCTTATAACCATTTATAGAGTATGTGTCACACACAGGTACTTTAGGAAGAAAAGTCCATGTAACATAGCCTATTATGCTGCTGCTGATGCACCTGCTCCTATTAATGTCATTGCTATTGACATTGAAAACTGGTCTGTGATTTGCACTTATCGTCTGCAGTATTGTTGATTTGGACAAGTTAAAATGCAGTTCTTGTTAAAACTGAGGTTTCATCACAAAGGAAGGTGACAGATGTTTATATTTTTACTTTGGTAAAGGACAGATCTGTAAAATATTGAAACAAAAACTGAAGTTTGTTCCTTTTGGGTTATCAGAAGCAAGGTCAAGTCTTGATAAGATCTAGTTTTGGGGTTAGCTTGGAGATGTTTGTTATGCATGTCAAAGCCTTTTGTAAGTAAAGGAAAAACAGTTGCTACTTTAATCCATTTCTTCTTAGATTTCATCTTCTCCTTGTACATGGTGGAATGAAATGGTAGTGGACATACTTGCTTTATTGTTCATATTGAGTCTTCATTCGTAAATATAAGAAAATCCAATCTCCATCGTGTTTATGATGGAGTTAGAAGTTTAGTCATATGGCTAGATCAGATAGGTTAATTTTCACTCTGAGTAGCTCAGGATCCCTATATGCAGCAGGTTAAGTCAGTCGAATCGAAAATCCCCACCTCTTGGAAATACCGAGAGCTGAAGGTTAGGTTAGAGATCACCAAAAGGTAGTATTTGCTTATGGTCTCAGCATCCACCTATTAATGATATAGAAATTGTTAGTTTGCATCATTGCATGTGCATGGATGACTCTGTAAGTTGAACTATAAATGCTGGTAACATTGAGTGGCTAGAAATGATTTTGCATTTCTTTGCATATGAATTATAAGCCTGCATGCTGGTGTGGTGTGGTGCGGTGTCAGAGGCTTAGCTAGCAAGGAAGATCATATGACACAGCCATGTACGATATTTGATGCAAACAGCCATCATCCTCTGTTAGGGAGTGACGAGCTTTAAACCCATTTTTGCTGTGTTTTTGGGTTGATTTAGAGTTTTCCACGTCTGTCTATGGCTGATGCAAATAAAAGCATAACTGTGACAATCCTCAGCATTCAAACGTTTTCTTTCTCGAAGAATCTATTATCTCAATGATAAAAGGGAATGTTTTTCTTAAAAAATTTATGTTTGAGTAATTACGTATTGTTTCTAAAAGAAAAGAAAATGTTTTGAGTCTCCCTTTGCTGCACAGGGCTCTAGTTTTGACTCCATCTATTCAACGCGTATTTGCTTTGTTAGACTTTTGGCTTTACACTTTCAACAATAATGCATGATGATGGTTAGCTTCGTCCTTGTTGCTTCTTTAACTTGGCTTATCTCTCTCTTTTAATCTGTATTCAAACACCATTAACCTGCTGCACTAAAAAGAGAGAGAAAAAAAAAGTCGTTATTTTCTTAGTGGTTGTCGGTGGGATTTACCGGCAGGTGGCAATCACAAAGCGACAAACAGCAGCAGTTCCAACGTGCGGCGATCGGCGGAAAAATATAAAATAAATCAAAAGGAAAAGTTCTAACTTTCTACCAAAAAAATAAAACTTCAAATGTGTTTAAACAATTGTTCAGATAATGTAAACCCAATTTCAAATCATATAGTAACATTAAATGAACAAACCCCATAGATCATAATAGCATAAACCATTATTAAATGTTCCTTTCGAACCCTACATAAAGGGATCCAATGTCCCCCATTCATCACTGTTTGTGCCCTGCAACAGCCCCACTTTCACCTAGCCCCCTTCCACAAACCCCGTTAATTTTAGCACCATTTCCTAGTGTACTCGTGCGCTTCGAAAATCTTTAAGATTATTCCTCTGATTCCATCCCCTTTGTTCCTCTTTTATCTTTCTGACATGGCATCTTCTGGTTCTGGCACTGGCTCCCCTTGTGGTGCATGCAAGTTTCTGAGACGAAAATGCGCCTCTGACTGTATATTTGCTCCTTTTTTCTGCTCGGAACAAGGCCCCGCAAGGTTCGCCGCCATCCATAAAGTCTTTGGTGCTAGCAATGCCTCCAAATTGTTGCTGCATATCCCTGCTCATGTTCGTTGTAAGGCGGTCGTCACCATTGCTTATGAGGCTCAAGCAAGGATTCGAGATCCCGTTTACGGTTGCGTTGCTCATATTTTCGCCTTGCAACAACAGGTACTAATCAGATTTCCTTATCTTTTTTGTTTATCTAGCCTTTAAACCAATTTCTAATCTTCTTCTGGGTTTCATCTCATAGGTGGCATATCTCCAAGGTCAGTTAATGCAAGTGAAAGCTCAACTAGCTCAAAATGCTATGAATTCACATCACATGGAGAATCAATGGCAAGGCAATCTTTGTGGTACTGTTCCTTCCTTTACAAGTTATCCAACCTACGTGAACCCCATTTCTCCACAGAGCTCACTCGAGTCGGTTGAACTCAACAGTGGTGATACCATGAATATGCAAGAACTGCAAAGCAGTGAGGAGTTTCATATCCTTAAGAAGAGACCCTACAATAATGATTTGGGTGAGCTTCAAGCACTTGCCCTTAGAATGATGAGGAACTGAAACTAGACCATCCTTGTCTCTTTTTTTCTTCTTCTTTATGGAGTACGATTCTGCTTCTGCTCTGATGCTGATGATTGTATATACGGAGAGTGTTTCCGAGAGAAATTAGTACTAAACTTTCTGGTCAACCAAACAATATTGCCGTTTTCCTGTTTGTTCAATCAGACAATTTTTTATTACAACTTGGAATTCGGCCATAGTGCTTCAGTCATGGTGTTGGTAGTTAATTTAGGATTTAAATAGCGTTCTGTTATCAAAATATCAATATTATATAATGATAAAAATGTCTGAAAACGTTAATCTCAACAATAGACGTAACTAACTTATTTCCTGAGGTTAATCTTATTCATCTATTTTCTTACAAACATAACTAATAAGAATGAACCTTAATCCTTAAGTACATTGGAGATTTCAAAATTATGTTCAAATAAATTTTTATTATTAAATTTATAAAATGATTATCAATTTTTTTAAATAATTACAAATTAAGCATGCTAGCTTAAAGAGATTATTTGATATGTTAACCATTAATAATTAAAATTTTATTTTTAATATTTGTAATTGATAATTGTTAAAAAATATTTTTAAAATTATCAAACTAGGTTTCAAAATTACAAATTTTGTTTTTATTTTAATTTTAAAACGATTAAAAATTAATGTTTATTATCTCTCCTAAAAGTTAAACCTAATTTTTAAAAAAAGAAAGAACAAAAATCACAAGCAGACAAAACATTAAAAATTAAACCACCAAGGTTGTTTAATTAATACTAGAGCAAATGTATAATATGAAAATAATTACCATAAATTAAATTTAGATCGAGATGATTACACAATTTTATGAAGCAACATACCATTCCTTTATTATTTTGTGAAGCGTTGTTCAACAGATACAAAGAGTATTATGAATGTTACTATATTCTTTTAATGTTTGGTGTCATTATTAAGGGAACGTTTCGTTTTTCTTCGTATCTTTGAGTTTAATATTTTTGTTTTAGGTATGGATTTTTTGTGTGACTATTGTCATCACTTTTCTTAGGTGTGTTGTAATTCTGATTCCTTTCATTATAATTTTTATTAATGAAATTCAATTTTTATTAATATAAAAAAACTTTATGAGAGATATCAATGTTATAAATTTAAAATTTTCCATATAAAATTACATCAATAAGTTATTAATAACATCTAATTCAGAAATATTAATTAATATTATTAGGATCAACATATAATTTTATTTTAAAATGTATAAAACTTTTAAGAGTAAAAAAATAATTATCATTAGAAAATAAAAGAATTATAAAATGTATAATAATTTCAAAATTTTAAGACACGAATATTATGACATTTATAATCATTAAAAAAATTATGAATCTTTATTCTTTGTTTGAATGAGTCTAAAATACCTTATTTATTTCGTGTCAATTAGCTTTGCATTCATGATTGGGGGTATGCACACCCTTCCTAGGGACCCACCCCACCTAGGGTTTATGTTCTAATGAGTAGGTTTACCAAACATAACCATTTCTTTATAATTTTTAATATAAATAATAATCCCAATAAGCCATGGCCTTGTATTCATATTTATAGACCAAATGTCCCCTTAATGAAAGCAAAACCCTACATTATGAGCCAACACTCTTTCTTAACTAATTTAATTAACCATACTTATCTTATTTAAATTCACATATTAATTGAACCTATTAGATTATTCAAATTAAAAGATTCAAATTTGAACAATTATATTTATAGTGTATATGAGTATTATTAAGAGTTAAGAAAAATTCAAACATATATTATCTTATAATTATCTAAATTATTCAAAAAATTCACGTATTAAAGTTATTTTTAAAACTCGAAACCCTCCTGTTATTTGTCTCATAAAGCATGTATATACAACATAATCAAACTCAAATTAATGGCACGATTTATACTAATACATCAATAAAAAAATATTACCATAATTAGAATACGTTAAAGAGAGAGGGAGCGAGTGTATAGTCATTTTTAGATTGATTTTCAGGTTATGAAATTATATTATTCTTAGTTAAGAATATTTTTGAAGATTAATAAATATAATATTTTTAACGATTGATATTATTATAATTAGATAAAAGAAATTAGATATAAAAAAAAGAGGGAAAATTAGAATGGAATTTGTTGGACTCCATTACTTGTAGTTGCATAAAGTAATTATTCCAATAAGTGATGAGTGATCATTAGTTGAATGGAGCTTAAGGGAGGGGAAAAGGCTGCCACATTAAAGAAAATAAATAAAGAGTTTAGTACAAAACAATTTAAATTATTACATGATAAAATATGTCTGAAAATTAGTAGGCTGACAAACACTTCCAACTCCAACCTGTCAAAAGATAAGTGTAGATGAATTATTAAAGGGCTGAATTGTTCCTTCGGTATTGTGAAAAAAATTATTGGTTGAAATAGGATTTTACTGGAATTTAAAGTCATCAAAAATATAGTGCGTTTTTTTAAAATCGTCGGGATGACAGTGCGTCTTCAGTTTTGTTCAACGACATAAAAATAGGAAAGACGCATTATGTTCTTGACATCTTTCTCGGAAAACACACGGTATTTCTGACGACTCTTCGGTTACTGTAGCATTCACATCATTTTAAGAAATAATTTTAACGATACCTTAATTCAGTCAAATTTTTTTCAAGAACCTTACCGTAGCAAATCAATCATTATTAAAAATCTATTAATTTAAAAAATTAAAGCAATTTTTTTTTTGTTGAATTGAAGATTTAAGAATTTTAATGTTGATTAGGCACATGACACATGGGACAGCTGATGACGTGTTGGTTTTGAATTACAAAATACTAAACACGAATTATTGTCTCATTTGAGGATTAAACAAAACAAAACAAAAGGATGAAATCAGCATAGTTAAAAATTGCACGTCTTCTCGGGGGCTTTGAATTTTTAACGCAACTTTTGACTATTGATTTCGTAACCCACGTTTGCATAATTCCAACCGTTGATCCTGGGCTTTCATTTTTATATGTTTATTATTATTTTATTAGAAAAATATAAAAAATATTATTGAAACAATTAACTGATGTTAATGATAAAAGAGAATGTCTTTTTTAGATACTTCAGATTCAAATAGTTGTATCTATAGTATATATAATGCATTAACAATGATTAAGAAAAAATATGAATAGATACTTTGAAAATTTATAATCACGTAGACTATTTAAAAAAATAATTTTATCTGAGATATGTGGAAAAGTCATAATAATAAAAAGTGTCCATTGACATTAAAAATTATTGAAAATAAAATTACTATTATTTAAAAAACGTTGATATTACTTTAAAAAAACATTTAAATTTTGATTTTGTAAATCTATATATATATATATTATTTCACCCCTAATTAAGTTGATATATTATTAACTCTAAATTTAATTAGCTGTATTTATGAGTTTATGTAAAGCACATCAAAATGGGCTATGTTCCAAGAGAGGCTGATCGAGTAGAAAAATGGGCTGTTTCAAATTGTAGCTCTCCTATTTGGTTTGTTAGCAATTACCCTAAATGTATTTCTAATGTTGTTATTTTGGACGCAATTGGAATCGAATGAATGATATCCTTTTACTAAAAAAACAAAAAGAATAGATCGAGAGGTCGATGAGAGTAATCGTCCCTTTGAAAATTTTAAATTATCATATATTTTAATTTTTTTATATATTTTTTTTATTGAAAATCTGTTTTCATCTCTCTAAAATTTTGAAAATTTATTATTCTAACATAAAATTTTACGTTTCTCCGTGCGATAAATAATAGTACAATATTAGTGTAATAATGAAAAGTAATGGCTTTGAGTAATTTAGATAGAAGTCTTCAAAGGTACGATAACAAATAAATTACTAATTTCTTGAATTCTTCCGAACATGAAAAAACACATGATACCAATATGACAAACATGCAAGTTTAAATATTTTATCAAGTAAATATTTTATATGTTATGAGTGAATGCACTGAGAGACGATGTATATAGATATAGAGAATGAGAGAGACTCGTCCCTCTTAAATTTTTGGATTTAATAGTATTTTATGTCTTTATCAATTTAAATTTAAGTAAAATTAAATTATTATTTCTTCTATTTTTAAATTAGATACGAGATAAATTTATATTATTTTAAACTTAAGTATCTTCTCTCTCCCAATATGATAGTTAGGGATGGCAAACGGGCGGGTCGGGTGCGGATACCCCCTCCCCATACACACCTAATATTTTTCAATCCACCACCCGCCCACCACCCATGATGGGTACAAATTTTCAAATCCACACCCGCCCACGCGGGTACATTTTCAAATCCATCCCCACACCCACTACCCACTAGCGACATACCCATCTAGACCCGCCTGACAGCAAACTAATGGGATGTTGGAGTTGGTTCCCAGACAGTTCGTGATGGGGTAGCAGCGCATGCTTTAATTTGTCAGTGGAGTGGCTCTACGAATGTTATGGAGATAGATTGTAGGGAGCATGTAGTCGCAGAGCTGGATTGTTGAGTTGCTTTCAATGTTAATGCTCATAGTGCGGCTAATATGGGTTTTGAGGGGCTAAAGAATATGGAAACTGCTGCTTTTGATGTTAATGCTTATAGTACGGCTAATTTGTGTTTGTATGGGCAGCATAGGCTAAAGAACATGGAAAGTGACGTGGTTAGTGGGATTATGAGTTTAATCAAAGAGCCGAATATTTCCCTAATTAAAGACCAGATTAAAGACTAAATATCCTTAATATTTGGTTAAATTATATGTTATATATTATACAATATTAAAATTTATAAATTAGTCTCTAAAATTACACCTAAATTCATTATGGTCCAAAATTTAATAGATATTTAGTTGGGCGGGCGGATACGGGGCGGGTAATGTCTCAAACCCATTACCCGCCCACCACCCACGACGGGTACCACTTTATAAATCCACACCCGCCCACTACCCGCTAAAATTATACCCATCCCCGCTCCAATTGGAGCGGATGCGTTGCGGAATCTACGAAACTGTACCCGTTTGCCATCCCTAATGATAGGAACTCTCTGACTGTACATTGTTGTGTCAACAAAAGTATTAATCTATCGAGTAAAGTAATACATACATATACATATATATTAGAGGAAGAAAAATATAAATTGTACAGATAAGATAGTTTGATTTGTGTCA